GCTGCGGGTTTCCTTTCCCCATGGCTGGTATCGTCCGTCTCTTTCGGCTGTTTCTGCTGCCCCTCACGTAGAGCTGTGGAAGGCCCCACGGATTTGCCTTGTTTGCAAGGTGCATCCATGGCTCATGGTCCGACTGCAAAGAATACATAGCAGATTCCTTTAAAGTCTGCACGATACGGTGGGAGAATACATTGCCCCTTCTCAGAGGGCAACACAGAAGAAACATTGAGAAGAAACGTTTTCTTGAGAAGAAGCATTTTCACATTTTGCATGTTTCCTGGGAGTTCTAAGAGTTGTTATCCACCTTCAGGCTCCCTGCTGAGGGTCTGTATAAGAGAAACACCCAAAGGGACCTTCTCCTCCCCAGAGCGATGTGTGTCCATAGCTGAACTCAGCAATACAATGCACATTCAGCTTGCAGTGTGGACACGGTGTGAGACAATTGTTTTTCTGCCATAGAGCGATTTGCTTTGCTTTATGTTTTGCTTTTCCTGTGCATTTTTATGCTCAGAAGAAAACAATCCTGTGAGGTAGGGCAGGCTGAGAGGTAATGAGTGGCCTAGATAATCCCAGGAGAAACAGGTGGCCATGTGTCCGTCTTACGCAGAGGAATGTCCCCGGCTGTCTTGCTATTGCATCTGAGACATTCTCTCTCTCTCTCTCGTGTGTGTGAGAGACAGCAACCCCATGTGAATTCTGCCCTCTGTACCCTTCTGCTGAAAAAGGGGAGCTTGGGTTGACAGTTGAGTTTTCTACTGGGGCTGAAATTTGAGTCGTTTGGTCCCAGGAAAGAGTTGTTTGCACTCTCTTGACTGCAATCTGCCATTCCTGCTGCCCGATGGAGGCATCTCGCCCTGTTCCACAGGTCCTGCAATTCCAGTTCAGGATTTCCAGCTTCACTGATGCATCAGTTGTGATGCTTAGTTGTTATTATCTAATAATCAACCCATCTGCATAAGTAGCCACGCTTGGTCAGCGGCTTCTGTCAGGATTTCTGAGACAACCATTACGGAAAGGTTTAAGTCTGCAGGTCAGTATTCTATAAAGATGAATCCTGATTGGTATTCATTTCCACAGTCCCCTGAGCTGTCCAGCTCAATCTGCTCAGCCAGTCCTTCAAGGGGCCACATTTTCTGCCCTCCCTTCCTTTTTAAAGTTGCAAAATAAATTCATTGCCAGAATTATTTCAGTCTCCCCCCACACACACACACTTTGTAAGGTTGTGAATTCAGAGACCAGATAAGAGGCTGGCGTTCCATTCTAATCACGTCGCAAGTGGCTGCAGAAAGACTTCTGTCTCTCTCCTCTCTGGGCTAGGTGCAAAATGGATTTGGATGTTGTGAGCCGCCACCGCCGGCTCGCTGCAGGGGAATTAAATTTAGCATTGTGGGAGGGTAAAACAAAGCTAATCAACTGTGAAGGTTGCCTGCCCCCTCAGGAAGGTGCAGATTAGTTTCGCTTTGCAGGTGGCCCTTTCGAAGGGATGGCGAGTTGCAAACATGAAAATTGCCAGCCAAACTTAGGAGAGCCCAAAAGGGACAGCCCAAAACCTGAGAGACGGCAGAGACCTGCTTTTCTCCGCAGTGGCCTGCTGCAGAGCCATTAAAGCTAGTGAGAGGCCAAGAGGCACCTTTGCTTTTAAAATGGCTTTTATGTTATTATGCCCTGTAAATGGGCAAGTGTATAGGATGCTTGGGAGCAAATTAGCAAATCATTAGTATGAAACAACTCTCTATGTGTTTTTTGTTTGAGACTTTATTTGAGCTTGTACCTTCTACCCTGCATAGCCTTGCCTAACCCCACACAGTTACTGACTCTGAAAATACCCTGGTTTTCCACAACCTGGATTAATCTGAGTGAAATTCTTGATTGCATGCAATCTTCCCGTTTGCTCTTCTTTCACAGTCACAAGCTTTGGCTTCTGATTTTAAACAAACCACAGTTCTTTGTGACAGCAAAGCTCAATGAACTGAGGTTTGTTTTAACTCAACTGAAGGTGCTGCCCTAGGCATGCTTATTTATATTATTTGTTATTTTAATGTCTTATGGTTTTTCCTCTTTTAAGGAAGCCAAGGTAGCTTATATACTCTCTTTTCTCTATTTTACCCCTGCTGGTAGACTGAGAGTCCACGACTGGCCCAGTGTCATCCAGTGAGTTTTATGATGAGCAGGAACCAAAACCCAGATCTTCCAAGTCCCAACCCAAGACTCTAGCCACCAGACCATGCTACTTTAGATCCTGTACATGGCTGGCAGGGGCATCCCAGGAGCTGTAGGCCTTTTTCAGTCTAAACATGCACAGGAGTGTATCCTTAGTGAACAAACCAGGATCTGAAATCATGGTTTATTCCTGGCTTGTTTAATTAACTAGAGTTTGAGGGGGAGAGATGGGAATGGAGAGTGTCTGAGCCCAAGGCTAATGCAAAGAGAGCAGGTAATACTCTCTCACCGACTTCTTTTGAAGTCCTGTAAGCATCACTGGCGTGACACTCTCTGTGAACCAGTGGTACCCCCTTGAAGTTATATAAACAAATCAGAGGTTGAAGCAAGTCACGGAGTTATTTTCCTGGGATGCCTGATCGTGCAAACAGGTGTGTCTTGGCCTTGCACCTGCAGGTCAGTCGTGTTAGACGTTCCCCTCAAAAACTTGCCTGCTGCATTCAAGGGTCGGATCTGCAGTTAAAACCTCTCTGTATTGCTGTAAATCAGGGCTAGGTAACGTGTGCCCCGCCCCATGTTTGGGCCTACAACTTCCATGATCCCACTGTTTGCTCAGCTGGTTCGGCCTGATGGGAGTTGTAGGGCAAGACTTCCTGAGGCCACAAGTTGGCCACCCCTTCTGTTGGCCGAGGCCCCACGTCCTGTCCCACACCTAAAAGTGTAACCTGGACCATTTTCCCAGAATGCAGCCATGCCATGATGGTTATCAGTGTATCCTGGAAGCCAGAACTGTGAAAAGTACTCCCTTAACTGGGCGGCCTATGAGATATTTTAGTATGCCTCTAATTCCACATCAAAAGGCATTCTTAGGAATTTGTTTCTTCTGGATCAAGGGGAAAGGAAGATGAAGGGCTTGTTTGGTTTTCGAAATGCCACCATATGCATGTTTTTAGAACGGAAACCTCCCCCCACCCCCCAATATTATCTTCCCCCAACCGAAACTACCTTTTACTCTCTCTCTGATGCCATATTTATAACTCTGGGCCTGTGTTCGCAGTTCAAGAATTCATTCTTCTATGTATTTAAAAAGTAAACACACAAACAAAACCATTGTATGGAACAATAGGGTTTAAAATAGGAATGAAGAACGTAGGGACATAATGAAAGCCATGCCGGATTAGATCAAAGGTCCATCCAGTGCAGCACTCTGTACACACAGTGGCAAGCCAGCTGCCCCCAGGATCCCTCCAGCAGGATGGGTGCAAGGCCTCCTCCCGCCCAAGCTCCTCAGCAACGGGTGTTTGCAGGTAGGCCGCCTCTGGTGAACAAGGAAGCCCACAGCCAGCAAGGCTAGTAGCCACTGGTCACCTCCTCCCTCATGAATCTGTCCAATCCCTTTTTAAAGCCACCCAGATTGGCAGCCATCCCCACTTCCTATGGCAGTAATTAATGAGGGAACAAAGCAGAGAACGGCTGTTGGGCCAAGTGCTGGAGAAAAGGGTTCTTTGGTCCAGCGAGAGAAATGTGGGCAGGTGGCATTTCACCAATCGAATACCTGCAGCACAGCGGGTGCCTCTTCGTTCATCGGGTCTCCTGGGCATCGCCGGAGCGGGGCAGGCTTTGCCGCTTTATGGAGACCTCCTGCCCTGCAATGTGTTATCCCTGGAAGGGGGCTGGGCTGGACAGCAGAGACGAGGCGAGTGGCTATTGAATGGTAAAGTTGGAAGGGCCCCAAAGATAATCATGTCCGACCTGCTGCCACAGTATCATCAAGGGCAGGTTTTGCGGCCTGGCGGCACGTGGGCTGCCTACGAGAGGAGCTGCAGGCCAGCCCACCTGGTGTGGGAAGCCCCCCGGAATAGCATTGCGGCCAGGTGGCCATCCAGACTCTGCTGAAGAACTGCTGACCAAGGAGAATCCACCAGCCTCCGGTGGAATCTCTTCCCATGCCAAGCAGTGCATGCCCTTGGGGAAACTCTTCCTGATCCCCCTTTTCTTGGAAGACGAGCCACCGATCCAGGTCCTTTCCCCACAGGGGTTGATCTCCTGGCCCCAAAGCACCTTTGGTGTTCTTTCTCCCATGGATACTTCTCCGTATTCCCCCTAAACTGTCCAGAATGGCCACAGTCTCCTTCTATGGTCATGCTGGCGGGAAGGAACCATGTCGTCTGATTGATTTGTGAGGCCAGTACCAAAGATCTCTGGTACACGATCAAGAGGGAATGACCTTCTGGTTAGGTATTAAGTGTCTAATTTACTTATAGTTGCCACCTTGATCAGCATCAACTAGGACATGGGTGGGCAGAAAGTGCATCTCCAGATACTTTGGACTTCAGTTCCCAGCACTCATCACCATTGGCCTTGCTGGCAGAGGCTTCTGGGAGTTGAGGTCCAAATCACCTGGATACCTGCATGCTGCCTTGTCCTGGTCTAGTGCTCCATTCACACATGACTTCAGGAACACTTGTGCACCTGTGTACCCAGCCCTGTCTCACCCAGTTATTGTCGCCACTGGAGGAGAACTGCGGTTCTGTGAGGAAAGACCCACATAGTTGGCCATTTCTGCATGGATCAGGATCTCAAATATCAGCCTGGTAATATGGGATGAAGATGCTCGTGACCAGTGATCACTTATCAAGACTCTGCTTTTATTTGAAATGGTTATAGAATGTTCTCTGTGAAGACTAGAAACTTCTGCTAGAACATTTCTACTGTGAGGACTTCAAGCTTCTGCAGTAGACTGTTTCTCCTGCAAGGACTAGAAACTTCTGCAGCGGTTCTCAACATTTAGCAGTGTGCTAAACATATTTTTGCATGTGCACTTTCTCCCTTTTGCCCAGGTCGGCTGTTATTTGAAGACACCCAGGTTCCCCATCTGGCTGGTCTGCAGCGAAAGCCACTTTAGCGTCCTCTTTTGCTTGAGGAAAGATTTACTCGAGGACTGGAAAACAGAGCGGCGGTTTGACCTGTATTACTACGACGGCTTAGCCAATCAGCAGGAGGAGATCCGCCTGACCATCGGTATGGAGGCCAAGCATTTCAGGAGGCTGAATTGTGGGACGTCGGGCCTGGGAAGACTTTGGGTGCCTTCAGAAATTCTCTTCCTGACCTCCTGAATCACGTCTGCTCACCTGTTTGTTCACTTCTGCAGGCTCGATCAAACCATCATTTGCCGTTACACCCAAATGGGCAAACTATGGTTTGAGCAAGCCCCCCAAACAAGGATCAGTGATAGGGATCACGCAAAGAGCAGGCCAGAATCCGCCCATCTTGTGCTTGCTGGACTTCTTTCCCGTACGTGGCCTTGGCCCAGGTCGAGAGCTGAGCCGAGGTCAGGCCCACAAATGCTGGGGAATGCTAGCCAGGGATGGTTTTCCAGTTCTGTCCTGGAAGGCTTACTTCAGCCCGAGGTTTCCGCTCAAGTGCACCAGCAAACTGTAGTTTGATCAAGCCAGAGGGGTTTGCAGGGAGGAGAGAGTGTGAGGGCAGCCACGATGTGGAAGACTAAGCCCAGGAGCAGAGCTGGTTCCTCTTCCTCCACACCGTAGGGTCTGAAGGCAGCGGTAGAGCCAGCAGCATTTCCATGGGAGGGTGGCAGCCTCTGATCTTTGGAAAACGAGTGAGTGCCCGTGGCATTTTCCGTTGTTTGCACGACCGGCTGCAACGCATCTTCTCTGCATCGCATGGGAATTTTGCAGTGAGTCAATCCTTGCGGTCATGCCCGGTAGATGATATTGGATCAGGGTGGGACTGGGACTCAGGAGACCTGGGTTCGAGTCCCCGCTCAGCCATGACGCTCACTGACCCTCAGCCTAACCTACCTCACAGGGATGATGTTCTGAGGATAAAATGGAAAGCAGGAGAACCTTGTCAGCTGCCTTGAGTGGGCTCCTTGTAAAACAAGAGAAAGCGCATAGATGCAGAGTAACGTTAATGATATTCCTAATAATCGGTGGCCTTTCCTCTCCCTCTTTTCCTCATCCCCAGCCCGTAGTCGGAGTGTTTGGAAGCTCCATCGCCCCAGCCCATTCTTTCCCCTCCTGCTGCACAGCAGCTCGAACCTTGGGAACTTCTACACGTCTGTCCATGCTGGCCCTTCAGCCGCCTGCACCGCAACGCTGAGAACAGCGATCCTGACATGGCGCAGGGGAGAGGGGTGGGTGTTCTGCTCCGAAGGACTGCCGCTCAGGCAGGAGAGAATTCTGCGGGAGTGGAGCTGGGTGCAGGGCCCGGCATTCCCTTCCGTGCCTTTCTGCTCCGTCCTGATTTCTCACCACAGTCAGAACAGGGCGGTGGAGACGCCCTCGGGGCGACTCTCAGCAGAATCCATCCCTCCAGCACCCACAGGCTTCCTCTTGTGTTTGGCCCGGCCTTGGAAAGTGCCCAGGCGGAGAGGAAGTCCGAGAAACGAAGGTTGTGCAGCCAACAAGCTTCTTCTGTGCCATTTGGAGCAAAACCAGCAAGGGGCTTGATCCCTGCATCCCATGAATGCAGCGGGAGCTCTCAGGGTCAGGGTGTGAGGAGGTGGGCTGGAGTCCAGGCACCAGTTCCAGCGAATCTGACAGATTCCCGCTGTGGATTGGATCTGGCCTAGTGTAGCCTTTCCTATATTCCACATCACTAGAAGCGGAGCTGGAATTGCACTCTTTCCTGGGAGTAAGATCCATTAGACTCAGTGGGGCTTGCTTCTGAGTAAGCATCGGAGACGAGTGAATCTGTCGATTCTCTTATTTCCCCCCACATATGAATATTGTGAATGCCAAGTCCTTTCACTCCCAAATATGAAAAGAAATGTGAAAACGGGGAACTTTTTAGCAGGAACAAATGGAAGCGAAATTTTTGCCCTGCCGGACCGACTAAATTCACCACAGGTGCAGCCATTCCCAGTGTGGAGCAGGTCATGGTGCACCCACCTGCCAGGTGTGTTCAGGATGAAGAACAAGTCAGGGAAAAAGAATCTCCAGAAAGTAATCCTTTGGCTACTTTCTGGAGCAGGGACAGTGCCTCGGGAGCCAAAGTGCTTTTGCAGAAGTGTGTGTGTGTGTGTGTGTGTGTGTGTGTGTGTAGGTAGGACAGAGGGAGGGAGTGAGGAATAACATGGAGGAAAACAGCAGGGATGCACAGATGACTCCTGAGCTGCATATCCTTCCAGCCTGTGTCCCTAAGAAATAGGCTGTCCTTAAAAACCCACCTGTGTTATAACTGCTTTATGAATTTAATGTTTTAAATTATAAAATCATTTAGTCTGCGGGGGGAGCAAAAAGCAAATATTAATTGCTGGTGAGTTGGTGGATATGTTCTAAGGTGAAGTATTTATGTGGTAAAGCTTTGTTGAGTGTAATAGCCAAGTATTATTACGTTAAAATTGGCATTATTGACGGAAGTAATAATATGAGGGTTCTTTGAAAAGTTTCCACACTTTTTAAACTCTATTTATTAAGAATTTCAAAAGCAAAGTACATCAATTTTCTACACAGTCACCTTCCTTTGAGATACATTTTCCCAATATCATCAGCAAAAAAATATATATTAAATATATTTATAAAATATAAAAGTGCAGAAACTTTTTGAAGCCCCCTGGTAATATTGACTTTTTTTTGGTGTAATTTCCCACACTCAGTGTTATATGTAATTTTTGTGTAAGGTCCTTAGTACCTTTTTCTTTCTTTTTCAAGTTATTTTTTCTTTGTTTTTTTAATCTATAATTTTTGGAAAAAAATTAAAAAGCCACCCTTGTTGACATTTCACTGAAGTTCTGGCAAATGTGGCGGGTGCATGATCTGTGTCGATGACCCGGACAGCATTTATAGAGTGCTTCTCCTCTGAAACATGCCTCAAGGCCTGATCCCACATTTATGTATTTATCTGGAATTTTTGTATGCCGTCCCATTCACATAAGCCTCGGGACGGCTTCCAACATCATAAATAAACAGTCATACAGACAAGAACATATAAAGTCTGGATTCATCCTGGCCAAAAGATGTTAAAACCAATAAATAATAATTATTATTAAAATATAGTTTAAATAAAAAGGTCTTGGCCTGGCGTCGAAAAACAAATAACGACGGCGCCAGGCGGACCTCTCTGGGGAGCGCATTCCATAGGTGGGCCGCCACCACAGAGAAAGCTGTCCTCCGAGTACCTACCCTCCTAATTTCCTTCACAGAGGGCTCCCGGAGAAGGGCCTCTGCCGCCGATCTCGAGGGGCGGGAGGGCATATATGGACGCAAGTGTTCCTTTAGATAACCAGGTCCCAAGCCTTTAAGCCTTTTAAAGTTTAAGGGCTTTATAGGTGATTACCAACACCTTGAATTGAGCCCAGACTTCGATGGGAAGCCAGTGAAACTGGTAGAGGACTGGAGTTATGTGAGAGTAACGCCCAGTCCCCATCAGCAACCTGGCTGCTCTGCTTTGCACCATCTGAAGTATCCGGACCGTCTTCAAGGGCAGCCCCACATAGAGCACATTACAGAAGTCCAGTCGGGAAGTAACCAATGCATGTGTCTCTGTCGCCAAGCAATCGTTCTCATGCCTGGCTTTCTTGCAGATTCATCCCAGGCTGTCCCCGAAGACAAAGAGAGCGACCTCACCCCTCCACTTGAGCACTGCATCCGGACCAAGTAAGTGCAGTCCATTCATCGTGTGCCGTGGAGGCCGGTACCCAGTGGTATGAGCAGGATCCGTGCATGTATGAACATGCCAGATCCTCTGAGCATGCTGGATCCATGCATGTATGAGCAGCTCTTGGCCTGTCTCACCTGCACAACAGCGCGGGGTTACAAAAGCCCAGAGAGGCTGTGAATTGTGCAGGGAGTGGGAACCTCAGAGAGAAAAGCCTCCAAAACAGAATAGGTTTCCTCCCAATGAACTGGCTAATTTTAATTGGCATCAAAGCCACATCCCGGGGCAGTGCGTTCCATAAATTCACAGTGCGTTGCTTTTTGAAGAAGTCCCGATTCTATCATTCCATCACTGGCTGAGCTCTGAGTTTTAGATTTTTATGACAGATAGAAAATTTTCTCTCTATCCCCTTTTCTACCCCATGGGATTTTATGTGAAGCTACATTAAACTAAATCCGTTGATTATAATTGGTATTCTTGTTATTTATTAGATTTTTATCCTGCCCCGTCTCCAAAAATGGCTCCCTGGGCGGGTTACGATTGCAGTAGTATAATAAAACAATATACTTGATAAAACATAGAAATGAGCCAATGAAATCACACATCTGACACAGTTGTCACTCCAGGCTGCAAATGGAGTTTGCAAAGATCAGTCACTGGAGCTTCTGTCCCTGCCTGCAACCCTCTGCCAGAGTCGAGTCTCTCCTGCGGCTTCCCTGTTCGTTCGCGCTGGGTTGGATGTGGCCCTTTCTAATCTGTTTCCTTTCGCAAACACATCCTGCCTCTCTCTCATATGCTTGTCCTTCTGGGCCACCCCCTCAAACTCAATCCTGCCGAAAAGCTTGAGAGCCGCTGCTTGAATTTGCTGTTATTTCGTTATCAAATCTAATTCGAAAGCTTTGCCGGATGCAGACCGAAATTGCAAACAGCAGTATTCACTTCCCGTCTTCTTGTCTTCAACAAAGCCAGCTAAATTGCATGCCGCTTAGCAAGAGACATTACATTTTGTGCAAGATTCTTTCAAACACCATTAACGCCTTTGTTTGAACGAGACGATCGGTTTTGTCACCAAAAATCCAACTTGATTGTTCTTTCCTGTTAGGCCATCTTCCTTCCATCTCCAGAAGACAACTTTTGAGAGGCTTGTTGCCTTTATAATCTTTTTTTTTATGAATGTGTCTTGTTATGCTCTCTTGTCAAATAAGTTTCATTGGGTTTTTTTCTGTTGCTTCAAAAGCCTGGAAAACCTGCTTCACCTTAGATATAGCAAGAAAGTAGGTGTGTTTGCTGGATGGGGAGATGAATATTTATCTGGCAAGCAGTTTGGTTTTCCTTTTAGGGTCTCCAAATATGCAGGAATTACAGTCTTGGTTCAAAGATAACACAATTCTTCCTCCATTCCCTTCCTCGTAAGCAACACTTTTTCTTGCATGACTTTCAGGACAAACCAGGCATTAAACCAGGCAATTTTTCCTAGAGTATGGATCTGAATCCAGCAGAGAAAACTTTACCTTCAGAAAGTTTTCCTGCCATGCGTAGCCGTATCGCTGTTGGGTAATGGTGCAAGCAAAACTTCACCCAGTAAGTGTTCTACCAAAATATTCCCTAGATGTGTGAGGGAAGAAATCTGAATAAAAATCCATAAAAACTTCTTCTCCACCCCAGTTTCTTGCACCTTGGGGTTATATTTAGCCAAGTTTATCTTAGTTAAAGCCAGGAAAATTCCCATAAATTCCAGTTGTAGTGTGCATAATTTTCATACACTTTGGCCTCTGCATAAATTCCCACTGAGAAATTTGTGTAAATTTTTTATAAAAAAAAAAACAAATCTCAGCCTGTAGTCAAAGCAGGCCTTCCTGGCTCAACTCAGATCAGAGCAAGCTTGGTGCTAGAATCCAGGGACCAGGACACACCAAAGCCCCCCAGCTGTAACCTTGTATCTCCCTAATTCAATATCGCTTACTCTAGCTGGCAGCAGGTAGCCAGAGTCCCAGGCAAAAGAAGTCCCCTTTTCCCCACACCAGTGCAGGCTTTGCCTCTTTTGATTAATCACTTTAATGCGAATTTCTCCAAAACAAAGAAAACCTTATATTAAAAAAATACAAAAATGCACATGTTGCTTTTTTCTCACCCTTGAATGTAACCAGCCCCCCCCCCCGAAAAAAATGTGTGCATGGTTGAATAAGAATATGGCTCTTCCAAAAAGGTGCTTCCCCCGGATTTGCTCAAGCGTGTAAAGTGTGCATTTTTCAAATGACAAATTTTACTGATGGAACGGCAGGCTTGAGAATGTTTGCACCCTGGGGTGCAAGCCGGGCAGTTTTGTCAGTCTCTGGAGGGTAAATGAAATTTGTGTGTCTCTGTAAATGAAATGTATCTATCTCCTTCAACCAGGTAAGAGAGGTTAGAAAGGATGCTGTTTCAGTCCTGTTACAAACAATTGGATCATACAGATAGCCTGGAACGTTTGTTCTTCTCCTAGCTGCATCTGTGCATTTTTTGTAGCTTTACCACTTCGTAGCAGGAGAAATGGATGGTGGGAGGGTTAGAACTCAGTTCCTTGAGATGGTGGCAACTGGGAGAAGGGTCTTTTCAGTGGGGTAGACCTCCAGCTGTGGAATGAGCTACCCACTGAGGCTCGCCTGGCAACTTTATTATCTTTTCAGCACCAGATAAAAACTCCTCTACTGCAGGGTATTCAGCTAGTCTACTGGGGCCTGGTAGTTTTCAAACAGGTCTTCTAGTTGTTAATCAATTTTCGAACATGTTTAACTGTGCAAACATTTGCCTTTATTTCTGGATGCAGTTTTGCTCACATATGCCTCGTGCAGACAGTTTCCCACAATCTGCATTTCTTCGTCTACACAGCCTTCCTAATTTGCATTTTTGCATGCCGCCTTCCCTGAGCTGTGCATTTTTGTTTGCGCTGCACAATTTAGAGAAAAGTGCAAGCAGCCGATGTTTGTCACCTATCCCGCCGCTAGCTGTTGCCCCATCACCGTCGCGTTGGCAAGCAGCAGAGTCACCTGGAGTCATGGGCGGGGGGCATATTCGCCCATGGGTGTTCCCAGCTCCTGATGCTTCCCTGTCCACAGACTTTTAGAAGCATTTCCCCTTGTCCTCCTTTTACCCCAGTTTCACGCAGTCCAGAAAGCCTGCTCTACCCTCCTCCCTTTCTCATGCCATTTCCAGCCTCAGACTCCCAAGAAACCCACAAACAGCAGCTGCTCGTCTGCCCACTGCAGCTTGTGTCTCCGAACATCTGTGTAAGCAGCTTCTTCCCGATCCACGAGATGAAAGGAATGCAACTCCCTTGAGTTGCAAATGCCACACGGCCCAATCTATTCCATCGCCCCAAGGAAGCCAGCGAGACTCATATTACAGCCCCGATCCTCTATTGTCTGTGTCTCTGGCAAAGGAAATACCTTCCTGGCTTTGCCTAACAGTGGTTGTGGTGGCGTGGAGGCAGCTCCTCTTTGATCTTTTCTTGATCTCAGAGGCAGCCGAGATTTTCTTAACTCCCGAGGCCCTCCTGCCCTTGCTGGCAATTACCTTGCTTGGCTGAAAGCCTGTGGAATGCAAGGGCTCGTTTCCAATGGAACATTCCACCAGGATATCCGGTAGCGATCGGCCCTGGGCGCACAGATATGCTAGTGGGCACCGAGAAGAAATACAGTTGGTGATCAGAGATCATCTACGGCTGTCTGCCGCAGCCAGACGATACATGTTTCCTGTATGTTCTTTCCCAGCAAGAGTCCCCGATCCTGCGGGCCCGTTGGTTTCTCCCTGCAACGCCTCGCAGTTGCCTGTCTGGCAAACGTGGGGGGGTGATTTTTTGTTAATTAATTATGTTGATCGCCACTTTCCTCGCAAGGAGCTCAGGGTTCTCAACCCCTCCACCCATACTGTATCTTCAAAGCAACCCTGCAAGGAGGGCTAGGCTCAAAGATACGGACTGGGTTCAGACAACACAGGGGTTGAGAATGGGTGGGGTGCGGGCTGTCTCTGAAACACAGGCAAACAGGTTGTCTGAATTCAACATCCAACAGGGCAGTGGACAGCCCACAGTTCAGGGATCTGGGACTGGGCCACCCTCCTAACAAAGCCTTCACCAACTTGGTCGCCTCCAGATCCTGGGTGTAACGGGAATGGGAACACCTGGAGGCTACCAGGTTGGGGAATGATGCTGTGACCCCTGCACCGCAGGGCTTCTCTCTGAGCTGCTGCTCTTTGTTTGGAAGTGGGGATGCCGCATGGCTGGGAGGAGGCCAGCCAAACTACTGGCCGGACCTGCTCCTGAGCTTTGGGCAGCCACTTGGCACGGAAGACTCTGCAGCCTTTCCCAGGGCAGCGCTATCATCACCCCCTGCTGTCTGCTCATCAAACCGCTTCCAGATTCAGAGACTTGAGGACCAAAGAGACATTTACCCTCAGCCCTCAGATACCACATTTGCAAGCAGACCTCCTCACAGTTCATACGGCCTGGAGGGGAATGTTCAGACTTTCGAGCATCATTATGACAGGGGCCAATCAACAGCCCAGGGGTGGAAGGGGGGATTTTTAATCAGTCAGCTGCACGCAGCTCAGGTGTTCTCGGCAGGGCCATGAACATGACAAACAGGCATAAACGAGCTTCGAGTACTGCCAAGGTCCATAAAATTACAGCAGTGGTGTCAACACTCGCCCCAGAGCCTATATTTCGGGGATGGAGTGCCTTTGAGTTGTGTGGGTTTGGGCCAGTGTCCTCTTTGCACACGTCCATCAGAAAGCCAGTTCTACTTCTTTCTGTGCTAACCTGTCCTTCTCCGGGAATGGGAAGGAAAAGGACCGACTGGCTCAGGAGAGAGAGTCAGTGTTCTGTCTGTCTTTTGCATCGTGTGTTACAAAGAAGGACACACTGCAGAGGTTAAATCAATTATAGCAGTTCCCCAAGAGGACTCTGGAGTCCGTTCCGGGGTGAGTTGTACTGTTCTAAGAGTTCCTTCAAGGGAGGCCTCCCTCCCCATTCCCCCACCCCTCCCCTCCCCTCCCCGTTGCTCCCGAGTGTCTCTCAGTGGAGTAAGGCCATTTGGCTCCGTCTTGCGCTCCTTTGAAGCCGAAGCCATAAATCGACACGGATGACAAAGGCTGCTTCAGGGAACAGTCTGTGCCGGCTGGCGCGAGGCTTGGCTCCCTCTGTGAAAGCTGCCTGAGGGACGGGTTGCCAGCAAGTTCCCCTTGGCATTGTAGTCCTCATGGGGCTGAGCCTAGAAAGCAGGCGATGGCCACCTTCCCAATAGGATTACCCCCCCCACACACACACACACACACACTGAAGCACAGAGCCCAAGAGTGGGATTCTGTAGTCCCTGGGCGAGCCCAGTAGGAAAACCCTACAGGGCTCCGACCTCAGAAGGACAGCCAGAGAGCTGTCCCGGGCCCCTTGCACTGCACACGGAGCACTGGGCCTCGTCGTCCTCCAGGAGCTGAGTCCAGGCAGGCCTCAGGGGTTCCACATTGCAACGGTGCATCCCTCTCCTTCCTGCCGTCCTTTCGGCTGCTCTTGTGGTCGTGCCTCTTTCCACGTTCTTAGACCCAACAGCAGCGCAGAACCGCCTTCCGACTGGACGTGGTTTGCAGCTGACCGTGCCTCTGGCCAGGTTAAGCAGCGCTTGCGGCCGAACCTGGGAAGAAGCCGGAGTGCATGAAATGATGGGAAGCCATCCGAGTAAACGGCCTGTTTTGCTCGTAGGTGGACGGGGGCTGTGGTCAACTGGAACGGCACGGAACCCATCCTGTGACCCATGCGACAGAGAGCGGGCCGATTCCCACATGTGCGGGAAGCCACACGGGTGCAGCGCTGGACTTCGCCACACTCGGCGCGGCTGGACAACGTGTGGTGGACGACGGCGGGGGTTCCTCTGGGGCACCGTGCATGCCGCCTTTTGTGTCAACGGGCTGCACAAAGGTGGACCTGCTTGTGTGTGGGCTGTGTGTGTGTGTGTGTGAGAAAGCGGGGAAGCAACCCCGGCGGCCAAAAACAGGCTATGAGAAAGAGCAGTAAATCTGTCAGCAGCTGCTCACGCTCCAGTTTCGAAGTCCAACTCCACGTCCTGTGATTGTATCTACCGAACAACACTGGCTGCACCCACCTGTCTTTTTTAGCGTTGGCTCTTTGTCACCGTCTCCTCTCTCGGTCAGGGAAGCAGAAGCATAAACAAAATAGTGAGGCAAAATCATTTCCCCAATAGCAGTACTATGTTAAGTTAACTTAATAGTTCCAATGCACTTTGGACCAACGGCTACCCCGTTCAGTCCTGTCCTGCTTTCTTGCTCTCTTGTGCAGTCTGTCTGTCTGTCTGTCTGTCTCTCTCTCACTCTCTCTCTCTCTCTCACACACACACACACACACACACACACACTCTTCCTTCCGCCCTTCCTTTCTTGAACTGATATCGATTCCTCTTGTCATTACATAGACTCCAGGCTCCTGGGAGACCAAGCCCATGCCGCTGCCCTCTCTTAATCGCATTAAGGAATATTCTGTTTTATCTAGGCTGCAGAATATTGCTTAACCATGAGATTTATTGGCTTGGTTCGCGTGCAGCAGCAGCCCAAAGGACAGCTTAAGCATGGCTTGCCGTTACATGCAAACCCCCTGGACTATGGTTTAGCTATGGATTGTTACTCAGAACAACCTAGGAAAAATCCAATGGTTTGTTGTCAGGTTTTGAACTCTGGGTTGTTTCTGTTCAACAACCCTTAGTTAAATCACTACAGGGTTCACACATGATGACTGCCCATGATTTACCAACAACCCATATTGAACCCATACTCTGAATTATTAAGTGCAGACCAGGCCAGTGGGTACAGGAGCTAGATCGCTTTTTAAAAAGAGGGGGGTGAACATCATGGTTTATATTTTCATAGTCTGTATTTTCTGTGGCCTCATAAACAGCAGAAGAGTTTAGCACCCCCATAGCCTTTTCCTAGAGCCATCGGAATCAGTTCCATATATTACAAGTTACTGTGTGAAGCTAGTTCAAAATGTCATCACTTTACCTGCTCTGGGCTGGCAAATTAGCTCAGATCCTGGCAGGGAACCCAGTGATGTGATGGCCCTGAGTCACGCAGGGAGTTTTAGCAGACAATCCGGCTCAGTTTGGGAGAGGATTCGCAAGGAAGATGGCAAGCTGCGTGGTGACTGCAAACCCTCGGCTAGGTCTCCCCTCACAGAAGCACTTCCAGGAATTCTATACAAGGCAAACGTATGCGAAATAAAAAGCTCAGCCTTGGACCACGAAGTGTGGTTTATGCCTTCATGGATCCGCTTCGCCAGTTAAGGATTGAGCCAAGAATGTTTGGAGTCTTTTCCTTGTGAATGAAGTGCAAACTGCCTGGGACTGAAATGTAACTATAATATAGTCTGGGGTTATGTTCTGCTAGGCTGGTGCAGTGCAAGAAGTTGCTGGAGTTTGGGAGGAAAAGGTTCAGGCAGGGTAAGCTTCCCCCATTTGTGCCTTAGAGCTTGACAAGTGAAACATGCAGCCCTCCAGGTGGTTTCAGCCAAATCACCTATAATTTCTTTTCCTGCTAATCAAAGCAAGCGCATTCAATTTGGGAGCAATATTTTCCATGGCATTGCTCCTCGAAGCTTCAGAATTTTAAAAATATCTTGTTCTCAATGGATATTTAAATATCATTTTGCTAATAAAATTGGCCTAATAAGGAACATTGGATGCTGGTTGTTATTTTTCAGCTGAGGCAAATGAAGGAATTTCATATCCTTGACGGCACTGCCTAAAGTAGAACAGAAAACCTGATATAAAGTTTGTTTAAGCCATTTGCAGAAGTAATCTGGTGAGCTTTTCATTTTCACAGTTGCTCAAAATACTCTTGGAAAAGAATTTGCCCTTCCTGGGCTCATCTTCTGACTGCTTCCAGCAAGCATTGAGATTGTGACTAACTGCTGCCTGTATCTGATCGTTATTTAGTTGACCTTATCACTGCAACCTTGTTGGGGTCGCTCTTCTGTAGCCTTGTCACATGTTCTGGACAATCGTTGCATCTGAGGACTACATGAGCAAAACTACTCGCAACGTAATGCCTTTCTTATTAAAGTCACACGAGAAAAGCCCCGCTGTACCAGGCCAAAAGCCTCTGCAGTCCTTCTTGCGTCTGCCTTTGGAAAATCCATGAATAAGACAACGAATAAGACACCTTCACCTGCTGTCAGTCCAGAGCCACTGGTATTCTGTGCCATTCTGCCTCCAGATGTCAAGGCTCGCTTTAATAAGCAAGGACAATGAGCAACACCAAATATCAGCGAGATCCAGTCTGGACAGTGTGCATCCGTGGGAAAGACATAGACCGAAGAGAATAGGGTAGAATCTATACATTGCGGCTGCAGGAGGTGGGATGTATGTATAAATGCCTGACCAGATTCTTTTCAATCTCTGCAAGCAGAAAGTTAGTGCATCGGGGGCAGACTGCCTGCAATGTCTGCCTGGCATGTTCACGTCATTTGGAGTAGGTGGGGTTTACTTGCAAAACACAGTTTCCATGTGAAGGCATTCAAAACTGGTGCCCTACGGCGGCAGCTTGAAACGGCAGAGCTTGTGCTCCAGTGTAAGGTACAGTCCTGTGCATGTTTAGCCAGAAAAAGGGCCTACAGTACACAGCATCCCTCAGGATTCAGCGGATCTTTAAAGCATATGGTTTTGAAGCTGGAAACATAGAAACAGAGCAAGTCAGAAGGGGCCTCCCAGGCCATCTAGTCTGACCCTGGCTCCAGCCGGCTCCACTCATGCCATGCCCACCATGAGCACGTCCAGCCTATCCTGGAACATCCGCAGTGATGGGGCCTCAACGACCTCCCGTGGAAGCCCATTCCATGCCCTCGGGGTCCTAACCATCAGGAAGTACTTCCTGGCATCCACTCTAAATCTTGGTTCACTGAGCTTTGCTCCATTGGCACGTGCCCTGCCCCCCACTCACTGCAGGGGAAAAAGATCATGTCCCACCTCTGTGGGGCATCCCCTCACGTACCTGCATGTCGCTAACAGGCCCCCTCTGAGTCTCCAGGCTGAAAAGACCCCCCTCCCTCAGTCTCTCCTCATCTGGCTCACCCTGCAAACCAGCCACCATCCTCGTGGCCCTTCGCTGCACCGATTCCAACCTTATTCATGATGTGCATTTGACAGCGGATGTAGTTTGGCGGTTTGCACAAAGGACCGTTTTGCAGAAATGTTTGCAAAGCTGAGTGTTGCTGCCTCAGCAGGCCTGCGCTTCGGTTCCTCTCGGTTTCTCTGTCTCACAGCATCTGAAACTTTACAAATTCCTTTATAACCTGCACAAGTGTTTTTGTGCATGTTTCTCTTCGTAGATGCCCTTTTGTGGAATGTCCCTTTCGTGCAAGCTATTCCCCCAAAGCTATGCTCGTTTCAGAGTTATTTACCCAGATAGATAGATTTTTGCATGCATGTTTTGATTCAAGAACTTTCTCCCAAAATTCAGAGCGCAAAGGTTACTTGAGGTTCAGTTTGCACGAAGCTCAAAAATGGGAACTGGGGGATGTTTCTCCCACCCCCAAGTGGAGCGCCTGTTCCAGGAGGCTCAAACAGCAAATTGTTTTCAGATTTAACATTAGGCTTGATCTAGAGTATCGTTGCTTTATTTTGTGCATTGTCCGGGGCCGGCAGGAACTGTTCCCAAGGCCAGCTTTCGGTAGTCGAAATATCCCACCTGCCAAATACAATACTGGCTTCCCGTTTGCTGTGTAAACTGTGGATGATGGTCCCAGCAGGCTCCTGTGTGAAGGGATTTCCCATAAGCTGCTTTTAATATATTCGTGTTCCTCACAATAACCTAGCTGTGAGCACCAATGCAAGGAAGCAATTTGTACCCGGGGAGCTTTGTGTGGGAATACACCAGTTGCGAGACTGGGCAAATACACGGAGAGGTGATGTGCTCATGCCCCAGTTCCCTGCATCGCCTCGCCCGAATCCTGGCTGCCACCAGTTTGCTTGCCCGCTTGCCTACCTGTGTCCTTCCATCCTCGTCTCCAAGCTGACCCTGATCCCCAGGTGGTCCCACGCACCCACCCTCCCTGCCCTACCCTGCCCTTGCTCTTGAATGTCACTATCTTTCTGGGACGTGGCCTTTGGGCTGTGCTCATGGACTGTGTTTGCTTGGATCTCTCGTCTCCTTGGCTTTGGCCACAGACTGGGACACAAACGTCCCTCTTGTTTCTGGCCCTCTGAACTTGCTGCACCGGCATCCTGGTCCTGGCCTTCCAAACTCAGAAGGAGGCCAGCAAGGGCTACCAGCCTTTCTGGCGCTGTGCCTCCTCCATAATTAGAAGCGGCATGCCTGCATCCACCAGCCGCTGGGGGGCTTGGGCAGGTTGCGGTCTTCTAGGCATACTGATGGAGAGATCCTGAGAAACAGAGAAACAGAGCAAGCCAGAAGGGGTCTCCCGGGCCATTTAGTCTGACCTCTGGCTCCAGCCAGCTCTGCTCACGACATGCCCACCATGTGCACGTCCAGCCTCTCCTTGCACCGATGAGGCCTCAACCACCTCCCGTGGAAGAACAGCTGGGTTGCCACCTTGTGAAGGGAGGGCTGGACCGGATGGCCCACGGGTCTGATCCAGCAGGAATTCTCTTGTTTTCCTTCATCTACAGTGATGTACAACTTGGTTTATGGGGTTCTGGGATGGCAATGGGAAGGTAAGAAAGTCATGCGGGATCAGAGCAGGGGTCCTTCTAGTCCAGAATGCAGGTTCTAACAGGCCATCCCAGTGTCTCTGAGCCACGGTTCTTCACAAGTGGCCACAGACACACTGCCTGTGAATTCTCAACGTTCCCCCACTGAAAAGCCTATTTGAACACATGTCCACTCACCCTCAGGGATGGGCCAAACCGCAATGCACTGCCCTTACTTATGGGTACTGCCACCTTTCAGTTTAGCCCTATACCTTGAGCAAGGGGTACTTGAGGCTCCATGGGGTTTACACCTGGGAGAGGGCATGGCCAGAGAAAATGCACCTGTCGCACAGAGTCTTGGGCTATCAAAGCATGCAACCCCCCTGCCCTCCCCCCCCCCACATCTTCCTTCTTAAAAGGAGCGAAAAGGCATGGAGGAGAATTCAGGTAGAGGGAAGAGGCAACAGAACTGCTTGCTTTGTTTGAATAAGCTGCACAAACCAGAGCCCAAGGGAGGTTCCGTACCTTTGGGGGCAATTCTATGCATGCCGAGGCAGGAGAAGCTCCCACATCTGGCAGCAATCCCAGTCAGCTGGTGCCTTTCAGATTGGTAGGACCAGAAGTCTCATCATCCCTGCTGAGCATGATGGGAGCTGCAATCCCACGCACCTGAAGGGCATCAGGAAGGCAGGCAGAAAACCTTGCTAGCGGAAGAGCTTCTGCTGTTCTGATTGGAGTTAAACCAAAACAGACCAAGCGGGGTTCTGATTCATCACCGTCTTGGCAGCCTGACCACTGATCGTAACCCTTTTACATGTGTGTGTGTTCCCCTTGAGGACCACCACCCACTCCAGCCTGAGCTGGGGCTGAGCCAAAGGACCTCCAGCAAGCTTTCTGGTGTAGCTGAAAACTTTCCCCAAAGAGCCCCCACCCCATTTCATTGATGACTCTGAATTCTTGTCTTGGGTGAAAGGAGCTGCTCTTTCCGTATCATGCCTCCTTTTAGACTGCCCCTCTTTCCCAGAGATTTTCCTAAACTATAAAGCCCCCTTCTTTCTATATTTCATTGATTTTTGAGGCACTGTCATTCCATTTTCCATGGATTAGCATAATCCGTTTTTGTACAAGTGCATTTGCATAAAGTTGCATTCTTGAAAAATGCAGATCCCTGAAACATGTGCATTTCATGCTTCAACCTATGGTGAAAATGTGCATTTTGGATCTGTGTTTTTTGTATTTTTCTACAACTAAATTTGCCTAAAACTCTGGATTTTTTTAACCTTTAGCAAATCCCTAGAAACTGCACAACTCAAAGAAAGCCAATCCACTGCAGAATCTATGGGTCAGGTTCTTAGCAATTCAAGCTCATCTGGATCCCTTTGCCATCCCTGGGTCCATAGCTCATGGAGCCCAGTATGGTTTTCCTCTGGATGGTGACATCTATCCAAGGCTTCCTGCTGCCCCAGCTAAGCTTAAGTGCCAGAGATGCCCGAAGGTGAACGTTTTGCTTGCACTACCAAAAAAGCGCTTCCTTGCTCTACTTGGTCCAGAAGAGCTTTTTCAGAGAGCCCCAGCTGCTCTCCGAGTCTAGTCTTTCTGCAAAGAGTGACTGTTCCACCATGCTCTTCAGAGTTTCTCTACTATGTCTTCTGTTTGCGATGGTCGGCTGTAAGAGACCTTGCTTGTGTCGCCAAAATGGCACCACCATTGCACAAGAACAGAAGGTCTTGACAGACTCGGGGGAAACCCAACATTGGCGGAAAGACGAGGTTAGAAACACCCCTCAGGGGCACGAAAGGCCCGGGAAACAGCCCAGTAAAGACTGAGTGTGCTTTGTGGCCATATGAATGCAGTGAAAAAGCGAGAAAGCATGTCCAGGAGCAGCTAAGTTTTTGAACGGCAGCTTCCCATGCTGTGAGATTTCGTTGCAGGTTTCATTTGCGTTGCACATGTTTTAAAACCTAAATCGGTTCTACTCCCCTTGCAAGCCCTCTGACAGTTTTTGCTCCAAGAGACTTCTTCA